GGTCTCTGAATTTTTGACAGTGTAACAACAAGTGTTGCACATTTTGTCTTTCTTTCCCACAAAATTGCACATAAAATCTGTTACCTTCCCTACCATGTGCAGGTATACCCTGGTATTGCCTATTCCAAGCCTTGCCTGGAAAAATCCGGATTCAGTTTCCCTGCTATGTCCTCCAAATCCATGTAGTTTATAAGAAAAGTTAGGCTGATTAGATTGATCCTGTGGTCTGCAGCCTCGCTGGGCTGAAAACTCCACCAGCTCGCTTCCGGGACCAACGCTTACTCAACCAGACCCCACATCACGTGATACCATAAACCTATCATCTGTAACCTCAAGCCGTAACACTATGTCGATCCTACTAGGCTCGATAATTAGTAGTCCCGTCCGACTGGTGTTTGGCGAACGGAGATTGCGTAAACCCTGTGCTAGCGTTGTTTACTGCTGTTAATAGGAGATCCCGCACGGGTTTTCTATTGGGATTAAAAGGAGTCTGGTACCTGTGTTCAGTAGAGTAGTCGAATTGACATCCTTTTATCCTTCATTATTACATAAGCTTCCCTCTACCAATCAGTCCACGAACTAAGTAGTGGGTTGTACATTTTAATAGGCTTCCCATTTTGTCTGTTCTGGTAAGAGGTGGATGGGTGCCGGTCCCGCCCAAACTTGGCCAGGAGGCGGATTCCGGAAGTATCTCCGCAAAAATTGAGAGTGGAAAATAGGAAAGATTGTCCAGCCCTTGGGGAGCTTGACTTTCCAGCTCTCGCCTACCTTTACAAGCACTTCTACAGGACTGTACCACTTGTCAGATACCTTTCGGGCGAACCTGTCCATCTTCCAGTTCCGAGTATCAATCATAACTTCATCAACCACATTCCAGTCTACTTCGCGACGGCGAAGACTGGCTAGACGCTCTATCTTGGCTCACTGATGTGTGTTGTTGTTGTTGTATTTTTAAAGTCCTGAGCTAAAGTGAAAGGCTCTACGTCCTACTATTGGTACATGACCGGTGGAGCCGGTAAGGATCACTGTGTACAGGCCCAACCCATTTAAGCCGCGTGAACTTCCACATAAATGATGGTGTTAACAGCAAATCAAAAATCAGATTTAGAAGAAATCCCAATTAGGTCCACATCCCGCGCTTCTCGCCCGTTCCCTTTCCTGTCACATCTTCCAAGTGACAATTTCTGACCTTCGCTGAGAGCAGAGGATAAGCTCGCAGGCACCCTTTCTCAAGCCGGTGTCCTGCTATTAACTTGTTGAAGCCTCGACGACTTTACTGAGCCTCGCCTTAGCCTTAAACCTCTTCGGATTCTAGAATCCCAAAACCCGATCCGTCCGACATATAGACCTCGTTCTTCGCGCCGTAAATCGCCTGAATGGCTTTTTCGGCTGAAGCTTTGACTCGAGCATAATCTGCGTGGATTTTCTGCTCGAACTTGCGAATCATCGCAAGCTGCTCTTTTTTCATCGTACCGAACTTGCTAGGTCTGGCTTTGCAGAACCGCGAATCTGATCGATGAGGTCTCCCATAGTTTCGACACTGTGTGGAGGCTTTGCACTCCATTTCCGAGTGCATTTTTGATTCACAGTTCCAGCAAGCCGGAGCGCAGGAGCAACTGCGAAAGGCATGGAAGCCAAGACGTCGATTGCACTGAACTATTTTTCTATGAGGTTGGAAGAGCTTTGCGGCCCCGGAGTCATCGAAGAGGCGAAATCTAGGTCGGGGCGTGGATTTGCGAGGGAAGAGCGCTTGTCAGTTCTGGTATGGTGACCCAGGTTCGCTGGTCCCATGAGGACGAACAAGAAAAGGAACTGATTTGGTCACTCACGTGACTTCGTCCGCGACCATCTTTTCCGTGATGAAAACAGAACCTGTGAGTGTGTTAATTCTCAGCGGGACGGCGGCAATTTGTAAGGCAACCAGATTTACTCCAGATTCCCTCCGTGGTGCGGAGGAATCCAAGAGCTCTTTCCGAGCGAGTTCATCCTTTGCTGTGAGGGTAAAGCCTGTTTTTACCCGCTGAGCCAACGTGATGTTGTTGGCCGCGGTATCGAGCGCCTCTGAGACAGCTGATCTTACGCTATCTGGTTACAAGAGTTGGTGGGGATGATCGTATGCGAGGCGTGGAAATAGTCGTGTGTCGACTGCTGTCCTCGTACTGGCTACCTTTGTTGTTGATGGCTGTTGGCTGTGGCCAAGGCCAGCTCAGGTTACATTCGCCCAAGTTGTCTTTTGGGCCGGAGCCTGGGTTGTCGGAGGGTTCGGTACCCTTATTTCCGTAGCCCTCGGTGGGAGACGGTTAGCGGGCCGGGCAGGAAGGACTGATGGTCTGCTTCCTGCACCGGATTGAACGAACTGGTCAACATCCACTCGAAAGTAGACTTTGATACCGTCTCAAACTCTTTTTCTTGGCCAATAGAGAGAGACGAGAGTGCTGCTCCAACACTGCTTATTTCAGTGGAAGATATTGCTAGACTGGCTTTTATTTGCGTCGTGCGACGATTTTCGGCCTCCATCAATGTTTGCAGCTCCGGCGGATATTTCGGTGCTAATATCGAAGCTGTGACTTTGAAAGCTGGCATAGCGAATTTTTTCGCATACGTTTCTGCGAGTTCTGTCGTCCTCCGGCGGACTCTCGCGTTGTCCGACAATGCGATGGGGATATTTTTTCGAACAGGTGGCATGATAGAAGTGCCAGCGACTCGATCACAATTTCTTGTGGGAATGCGACGAGCGCGAGAGGGAGGCAGAGGGGGAAATTTCCAATAGCCCGAATTCCAAAAAATTGTGTGTGTGTGATTTTATTATACTACTTGAGTCTATGACTATCTAGCACATTCGGCTTCTCTCTGACCCAGGCCATACCTTGTACAGTGCTCCTTGCCTCTCACGTTTCTTGAAAAATCATTGATATATCGCCCTTGATGAGTAACCGTTCAGTTCAGTGTTTACCCGTGGAATTCAGCGACCTTTTCCACGGAACCTTCACCCATTTTAGAAAAGAAAAGAAAAAGGTAACAATGGAAGCTTGGTGCGCGGGAAAAAGTCTCAAAACCTGCATCCCCAGTCAGGCGAGGCCTAGACACCGGAACCACATGGGGTGCGCATATTCATTAATATCTCCCTTTTTTGTAACAGTCGAGGCCGACTTGATCCAATCCACCATCTCCGTATCGGGTGCTGGGTACGCTCCGGAAACTCATCGGATGGCTTTTCCTCCGTGATCAAGGTTTGGTGATGAGTAGAGCTCCGACCCTACCATCTGATCTCATTGTGGTTAGCTTCATGATAGTGGTGATAGGGGAATGTGTTGAGAGATGAAGACGATACAGACCGCAAGAGCGATTGGGAATACTCGTCAAAGTGAGGACTTTGTTACTCAACCTTGGCTCTGTAAACTCTACAGTGAGCCCTGGAGTTTCGTAGGGGACACCGCTGACTAGCGTTGAGAATAGACCCCCTTAATCGTTATTATCAACTAAGGGGAAAACAGAAAAAAATCTTTACCTAATATAACATACCATTAAATCTGAAGAATATTGTGAGTAGTAGGCCTTCGATTGCAAAAGTGCAGGCGACACTATAAATATAAGCCAACGAGGGAATGCGTCGTGGTCCGCTTCCTGATGGTGTACTCTATTGTAGTGAATAGCCTGTGCACCTATTCCACTTGCGAAGGAGACACCTCAGATGACATTTCGCGCGGAGAAAAGTAAATGAATGATGGAGGCTTTTCTGGATAACTCAGGGTTTTTGAGGCACTCCCCTGGTTGGGTATTCATGGATGAGTGTTGACTTTGTGTGAAGAGAAAGCCGCCATAACTTCGCAGTGGTACTTCCAGATGAAATCCGATACATGAGTGCTCTAGTTATATTCGAGTCATCAATTTTGTAATTCTTCTCTATTATTGTGTCATTGCTAGATAGCCGCATACCTGTTAAAATTTGATGTAAAAAACTTGCCAGTGCTATCTCATATGTAGCCACCGCGCGAGATGTGGCCTCAGTCTTTACTCTCTCGAGTGAGGTATGAGTCCAGGCTATCAATATTCTAAATGGGTGAGATGGCGATCAGGAGGTGGTAGCCAATAGTTTATATGGTTGCCGGTTTTTGAATTGTCGGTAACGCTGTCCGAAATAGTAGGCCCTGATCCAATTCATACCCAGTATCGAAACCCCTCGAAAAACGTGAGTCCTAGCAGACCTATTTGTGACCTATTCTCTCGCTCTTCCAACATCACGGCTATCTGCCTTCCCTCAAAATGTAAATATCTATTTGAACAATGATCCCTCATAGATTAAGATGCGAGCTTTGTATCTGTTGACATGATTTTCTCCTCGCGGGTATGCAAACCAGCGTAACTTTGTACTGAGAGATGGTCGAATTTTGAAAAGGCAGGATCCCGATTGCCGTTGGAGAAGTGTTGTTATCAGTAGATGTGTGAGGGAGTCTTCATTCTATACTAAGAAGGCTCACGGGTAGAACTCGGTCGTTGAGCTTTCAGGAGGGCATTTTGCTTACCTCCGCTGCAAATAGCCTCCAGACGTATCTATCATCCTATCTAAAATCCTTTTACATCTGCATCAGTAGTAATCAGTAGTTGAGGCGATGAAGTTTAGTCAGATTGAGTTACAGGACTCGTGTCAGAATGAAAGGCCCAACGGTGACGAGAAGTTGTCGATTTTAGGTATGCTTCAGACTACTTGCGACTTCCATTCAAGGGCGATTCTTATTCGCTATCCCAGATATGCTGAGGATACTAAGCAATTACACCGACACTACTAGAAGGTGAGGAATTCACTTTTGCCAGCACCAAGTGTCTAGATATTGCAAGGGTTGCCAATAGGAATGTATTATCTAACCTTATTGTCATGTGATCTAATGGTATATTAGCATGCGTCAGGTCACAAACGTCATGAACACAAACGTCACGAACAGAAACCAAACACTATCAGCCCTTTTGTACAAGCTCAACATTTTCTATTAAAAGATTAATATATGACTGAATTTACAGATATCTGTGAATACCTTGCCAGGAACCCATTGGCAAATATTCTCATTTTGTTTCTAGATATCTATGAACAAAGTGGTTCTAAATCTGGTAATTTTCACAACCAAGATAAGAAATGTGAAGCTAATTTAATAGCTTACAATACAATATTTACTCATTTACAACTTTGCGCATTCGCCGTCAAAGACAATGATGCCTCGACCCAACTGCGTGAACAATTGATTTCTATTGCCACTAAAATCAACGAGAACGAGATCGACCTCATTAGACTTCAACCTCTCTTTAATGCTATCTCTGATAAGAAAAATGAGGTGGAAATACTAGAAATTGCACTAGGCTTCGCCCGAAACCCACCATACAGGACCGGCGTCATACAAAGAAGCAGTCGACCCACGTCAACTCCTTCCCCCAGTAAGGAGACCATCCTGCGGGGTAATGATGAGTTATTCAGCTATCAAACAACCGCTCCAATTGTCGAAAAAGCCCTGCAGAATGAACTTGATGGTAACGTAATCACTGGGCTCAACAACTTCTGGGAAATATTTTTCCTAGATAAAGATTGGTCCAACCAAACTCTCCGCATCTGGGAATGTTACCAAAGATATGAAACTAAAGAGATCGAGAAACGGGAAAAATATGGTAGTGGAACACAATCAAACGCTCAGACAACAAAATTATTTACAGAGATTGATCCTAACGAAAGATTGAAGATAACCCACAGACAAAAAATTCCCAAAATTTTTACGGAGCTAGAAACATTAGAAGAAGGTGTCCCTCTAGAAATATCAGGAGGAGTCCAGACACAAGAAATAACTAATGAAGAGCCTCTTCCAGAATTACCAGAGCTGGATGAAGTAACAACAATGATTTCCTATAAAAACAAAATCTTGATTGAAAATATGACAGAGAAAGAGATTTGGGACTGGCTCAATTTTTTTTGGGACAGCTTTTTAAGTCAGCTCCTAGATCCTATCACAACTTCCCCTGGAAAGTTTCCATCTCTTGTCATAGAGGACAAAGGCTCTCAGATTCGAAACAAGTATTGTCATACAAAAAATAATCATCAGATAAAAGGAACAACCAACAACTATCAGGTTGACTTCCTCGTCAAGAGTATCGATGTGCCCAATAATGAAAAACACCATTGGAAGGATGTCAGAGTGCTTGGTGAGTTTACCACAGAGCATTTCAACGATAAGAAGAGGGATAAATTTCTCCAACTATCAAGATCAGTTCTGCAAATTTTTTCTGCACAGCCACTACGTCAGTTTGTACATGGATTCTGCCTTTTCAAAAACGACTTTGAACTTTGGTTGTTCAATCGCTCTGGTGCGTATGGTTCTGGCCCATTATCCATCAAAGATAACAAAGACAAGCTGGTAAGGGCGATCTCATCATACCTGTTGATGAGTGATCAAGAACTGGGTATCTACTCTCCTTTCCGACATGTCAATGGAAGGTCTTTACTATCACTTAGCCATGAGGAAGATGATCAAGCTCAGTGGTATGAAATTAATCCTGATGCTATTTTCAAGGCAGGCACACTAGTCTCACGTGGCACTGTTTGTTACGAAATAAGGGAGAAGAATGCAGTCGTGAAGTACTCGTGGACCAGGACTGCAGGAAAATCAGAAATTGACTTCATGCAAGACGCCTGTGACACCGAAGGCGTTGTCAATTATCTCCGAGCAAATAGAATTTGCAAGACTAGTGATCAACTACAGGGTCTCAACTTTAGTAATGCGTCTTATTGGTATATAGGTGGCCTAAAACCTATTGCCACGGGCGAAGGTGAAAAGCAACCGAATACGCCCCCACGCATCAAAGATCGAGAGCTGACCAGGTTAATTGTCACACCATGTGGTCGTAGACTGAATACCAGCAGGACGATACTGGAATTTCTTAAAGGTATAAGAGACGCCATCATGGCACACCAACGATTGTTTGTTGAGAGGAAGGTACTCCATGGTGACATCTCTGACGGCAATATAATTTTGGCATTCGTTGATGGCATGGTTCGAGGGATACTGATCGACTTTGATCACGCCGTAAAGGTCGAAGATACTTCGGACAAGCATGAGAACTTGTACTTGACTGGCACCTTGAAATTCATGGCGCTCGAAAGACTTGAATATGCTGCAGAAACTGGAAAATCCATAACCAGAACCTATTTTCATGACCTGGAGTCTTTTTTTTATGTATTCCTCACAGGCTGCATAGAATATGAACGCCGCGAGAAGTCGAAAGTAGTAGTTGATCTACTAAGGTGGTGTGTAGAAGATGTCGATTCTAACTTGAATAATAAGCGTAGTGATATGGATTACTTTCAAAAAAGAATTACTCCCAAATTCACCACCAATTTTGACGGCTTGAAGGATTTTGCGTGGAAGTTACGCAAAATTTTATTCGGAGATTGCCAAGTCAACTTTGGAACACCTATCGAATACGAACCTGTGTACAGAGACATGATTGGGGCTTTCGACGAAGTCATTGCGCAGATTAGAGGTAAGATATATCAATGAATTCCACACGATTGCTATTCCCTTTGACTACAGGCCGCTGATAAATGTCCATTTAGCTGGAATAATATTGAATAAAGCTATAGAATAAAGTAGAATTTATCTGCAGGTTTTCTGGACTGGAAAAGATGGCACAATCTTACCTGATAGGCAGAATTAAGACAATGGGGTATATGAGTAGATATGCGTTTTTGATTCATACTTAGAAGGGGTGATCTCAGTTGCAGAGATTTTAACGATCAATGTGTGTAACGGCTAGTGAGCCGATAATTATCCTGTATCACGTGATGTTAATCACGTGACTCAATAATTCTGTGAAAGGCAACGCTTCACTCTAGTTTATTCTGAACATGACTAGAGGATTCTGGCAACTGGCATTGAGACTGTGAACTGGTATCAGGGAAACATAACAGAGGCTAGTATCAGACAGGAAGGAATATTCTAGATAGCCTAATAAGTGTATAAATAGTTGAGTTAGGACACACATATTGTGGTATAGAAAATAATAAACAACCTTCGTATATTTGATCGCCCCAGCATCTATACCTCGAACTGTGACAATGTGTTGTAATTTTCTGGTTCACATATCCTTGAAATGACAGTAGGCGGATTTCAGACAATAAGAGAACGTGTTTAAACATTATTCATACTTCTGTTTTGCTATCACAGAGTGTCTTTATTTCATGATGTATTCGTTCTTGTTTTAGATCTAACTTGCATCTAATTTTAGCAGTGAGGTTCCTGATGGGTTAGTATGTGTGAAAAGTGAGATAGGCTTAGCTTTAAGATGGCGTAGGTTAAGGGTATCTCGTGGCTCAAAACTACCCATTTGTATAGTAGAGCTGAAGACTAGATGTAACTTGATTTTCTATTAATACAGGGTATCGTCTATATAACTACAGTATTCCTTATCTTGCGCCCGGACTTCAACATGAACAACACTACATTTGCATTACAATTTATCAGAGCCTCGTACTAATCTAGAGGTCTGTCAATCTTGGATCCTCAGCAGTATGAAGAAAACATAAAGATTTCAAGCCACAGAATCAATTGTATTCTAGCACAGCCCATACCAGCTTCATCCTGAGAGTATTTTTCTGCGTCATTAATTCTGTCTCTCCACAGCCTCCAGTCCTCTAGCCGTAAGGAATCATACCACCAATGTCTCCGATCTAGCATTTAACTGGGACTGCCTACATTACGGGTATTCTTGTATTTATTATTTCTTGTATCATATATTGTATTCTGTTGGTATTCCTGTATTGCGTACTACTATAGGGCCTACAACCACCTTTCATGGTCGCTCCGATCGCGTCTTTGGTGCATCATATTTCTTGCTAGCAACCAGAGTGAAATGCTGGCTACAAGTAAACTTATCTTTTCAGATGCAGTATGATTAACGATGTATTGCCTAATTGTGCTGTGTTGCAGGCTACTGTTCCAATTATTCATGGGATCATCATCAGGGTTGTGAGTAGTTTCGGTTTTGGTGTGGGTTTTTAGATTGATACCTGAGCGTGTCGCATAGTAGTCAGACATGCGACTCGAGTAGCAAAATGCACGGTAAACCTCAACCCCAAAATAATGATACGAATCAGGGTTTACATGCTACGTCCTGTATGGCTAGCGTGGTTGGAACATGGGGAATTTACCTGTAGATAGATAGAGACGTTGTAGCCCTCTGATAATTGGGACAAGTCCTCTAGCAAATTATATCGGAATCAATGGTAGCCTCTCATTAAGCAATCTCATGAATTATTTCCATTGTCTGTGACAGCAGACGTACATATGCAAAGTTGACATCAATTCTGGAGTCGATAAGTATCTATTGTTTGAGGGTTGGATGGTGCAGTGGTACACCATGCGGGCCGTTCTCCCAAGTAGATACTGGGTACCTTTAACATCTACCCCATTCGGAACAAGAGAATGCTGGTTCGGGCCCAGTCAGACCCACACACCACTCTCCCTCGCGGTGGTAATGTACTTGTCGGATGATGAAAGCACACGATGATAGCCTTAGGTTTATCACGCTCTTCCCTGTGGTGGGTAGGCACGGAAGAGGTCATACGCCGCATGGGTTGACCTCGAGTAGATCTGCAAGTGCAATCTGAGTGTGAGTATTCTAATCGTCAAATTGAGCCATCCTACTTAAGGTACACATATTCCGATAAAACCTGCATGGGCCTCAAGGCGCCAAATCAGGTAAAAATGAATTATATATATATATGTACACACGCCCATATACATCAATACTCTGTTACCCCTCAGCTCCAGTGCGATCTGATTGTGAGATCATAAGGCACTAGCATTCTGTCTATGTGCCGTGCATCAAAAATCTGACCAGCTCGTGACAATGTAGATCTTTTCAGGATCCACAACATGTTGATAGGCTTACACTGACAGGGAATACACGAGACCGAGTACAATCCTTCCGGACCATAACGCGATAGTGCTGTATTACAGGCATAGTCAGAACACTAGGGGAGTCCCATAGCATAGGAACAGGAGAGGGATTAGCCTTGGTGGCGAGGAGGCTTTCACGTATACACAGTCTCTTAAGGGTATCAAAAGTATAATTGTCAAAATAACTGGGGTTTGATCCCTGTACATAATTCCTTAATTGGTCTGGTCTTCATGCAGGTCCATGTCTAGTTACTCGACTAGTTATGCAAGCAAAGGGTACTATCCAATGTTATTCCGGGAAAGTCTTAATTAATGGGGACGGTTTTCAACACCATAACAAATGTACAATGATCCTCATTTAAAATTCAAGCTAACAAAATCATTTGATATCATCTAGAAATACACATCTATTTCAATAATAATAGCTCTGTATTGTAAAAGTATACATCGAAGCCTTCAGTATGGCTCGCAACTAAAATGAAAGCATACTTCATGTTTGGTATAATTCTGCTCCATCCCAATACATTGTAAACTCTCCATTTTCCTCTATCACCGCTATACATCTTTCGTGCATGTTAACCACACTTAACGGAAGCTTCTTCCGAGCAATGCATCTGCTGTAACCCATTTTGTTGAGGGTTCTTGAAATTAATCCATCACTGCATCCCCAGTGGCTGAAAGGTCCCAATGCTAGTTCCAAATAGCACATCTGTCGATATTCAGGAGATTCCCGGACGAAAGCCTCAAGCTCATCAACTTGTTCCGCGCTGAATTTAGATGAGCGTCGTCTGCGAGGCTTAGGATTCTCTGTCTCTGGAGCACACGTAAGTCGTACTTGTCTTATTGTGAAGCTAAGTTTGTCGGATATATTTTGAAGTGTCAAGCCAAGTCTTCTTCATGTTCTTATTGCAATACATTGATCGCGAGTTAGATGCTTGCGAACTTTAGTTTCTGAAGCATACCTTTCGAGAGACATTGTTTGCTAGAATAGAGGATGAATTGATAGTGGTGTTGAGATTCAAGGACCGTGTAGGTTAGGCAGCCAGAAATGTCGTTGAAAATGTGTTTTTCTAAGCGATTGTTAGAAGAAGACGATTGGACCATACTTCATGGCGAGCGAGGTAAGGAGGAGGGACATACTAACCTATTACGAGCTAGCCCAACTGCGCCTACAGGGCTGATCCCTTTTACATCCCAGTTTCGAGGTTAACATTTTACATCCCAGAGGCACAGTAGACTGAGCTAACAGGCATATGAGGAGCTCACGTGCTGTGCGCGGGCACGACGTTAAGTATTACAAATAAATAAATTACTCTAAATTCAAACAGGATTATGTAGCAGGAAAGTCAAGCAGAATACAAGGGGAAGAGAGTATAGACACGCCAAGAATCGAAAGCAAGAGATTGAAGAATGAACCAGAATTTGCGGCCTGGAGAATGTGAAAGGGAGACAAAAAGAAGCCGGTAAGCGGGCCGCGTTCCAGGAGTGGAGAAACTCAAGGACAGGTCCAAGGAACAAGATACTATCTGGTCATCGAGCTTCGGCAGACCCTGAACATTGGAAAGCCGCAAATATTATTACAGATGAGACAACAGGCAGAAATAGGATTACATATAGAAACACACTCTCTAAAATCCACCGAAACCTTAGTATGGCCTAAAGCAGTATTGCAGTTCAGATAAGAAGTGAGCACATTGGTATCAATTCTTATCTGTATCGAAGGAAAGTTCCCGGAGGGATTAATCCAAAATGTCAGTGTTGATAACCGTCTCAAACTGTCAAAAACATGGTCTTGGCGTGTCCTCAGTGGGCAATGGGAAGAGGAGAGGTGCTTCAAAAGGCAAAAGACAGGTCATTTACGGCAATGATGAACAGCCCAGATGACAAAGAGAGAATTACAAAATGGATCCTGGCAAAAGGCCGGTTTGAACAATTCCGGCTTGCAGGAGAAGTAGGAATAGCATTGGACGAAAGAATGAGACGATGTGGACAAGGATAAGACGGATTTCACACTGTATAAACAGTGTAATCGCACTTCCTGAAGGAAACCTCGGAAAAAAAATAGACACGAGAAAGACAGTTGTAGGGGGTTTTTACCGAATTTGGTTTCCTGCTGTGTAAATGTTGTAGCTAGTCATACCTGAACGGCCTAAATGAAATCAAATCAAACGGGATTATGTATCAACCTATGGTAACAGTAGTGCAACTTACGTGATATTCCCTTGGCATTCTTACATGACACCAAAGGGCTCGAACAGATGGATAGAATGAATATATATGTGAATGTTACTGGATCATTTTATTGAATCTATTTTATTGCCTTTTATTTACGCGCGTATACGGTATTGTAGCAACAGGTCGACATTCTGTGCAAGCAAACAAGTCCCATTGTGGTATTTGCGAATGAAATCCAGAGTGCGAGTGTCTCGAACGGCAATAACATCATTCAACAGGTATACTCAGTCATGGTTTTGTGTCGTAGCTAGATGGCTGAATACAATATGAATCGAAAACGGGTGAGGAGGTGAGAGGCGAGCCCTCCCATGCCGCAGACACTTTGACACGCATATACATATTAAGGTGTGTGGGTCAGGCTCGGA